GTGCCAGCCACCGTGTCCACAGCCGCGGGATGTGCAGGGAGGTGTCGGCGTTTGGGGGCTGAGTTCTTGTTTCTCTTTCTGGCGTTTGTAGCGAGCCTGGCCCGGGCCTGTGGAGAGGCTGTCCTGCCCGCTGCGTGAGCTGGCGCTATGCATCCGGCCCCCGGGCCCTCCCCGACGCTGCTGTTTACTCTCGCGGCTCTGGGCTCCACCGTGAGGTCAGGTAAGAGGGGAGAGCTGGTGGTCTGGCCGAAGCCTGCTCTTCCTGGTCAGCGCTCTGCTGGTGCCGGTGGCTCCTGCAGAGGCTTCCGAGACGTTTGCCCGCTGGGACTTACGCAGGAATGAGCGGGCCTTGGCCAGCGGCAGGCCCTTGTCCTGTCCTTGTGGCCATGTCCTTCCACCCGTCCGACGAGTCGTGACATGTTTTTGTGTAGGACGGCACGCCAGGGCTTTCCCAGACCCCCATGTCTGCCAGTCATGCTTCCTTCGATCGGGCCACGTGCCAGTTCTGAATTGGAAAATGGTCGTGGAGTTGATGCCAACCGTAAACCACCAAAGAGGAGCTTTAGGACCGGCATTATCTTGTCCACCTTGGAGAGAGCCCGGTCAGGTCCCGGTCTGCCACCCCTCTCGTGGCGTGACCTGTTTTATTGTCCCGGTCTGGGTCTCTGGACGGCGTCAGTGTGCTGGGTGGGGCCCCCAGCCAGCTGCGTGGCCCACGGCTGTTCCTAGGTTAGGCGTGTGTGAGGGTGCAGTGTACAGACAGGGGTGGCCACGTTGTCGTACGATGTTTACTGCTGTGAAGGACACCGTGTAACTACTGGACTCAGAAAGGGAGGAGTTGATTTTGTGCTAATATTTCTATTTATGGGTCGCTAAGCAACTACCCCAGAGCCAGCCAAGAGGGACACGCCCCTCCCTCGTTTCTCATTAGAGCCCGTGAAAGCCAACCTAGCTGGTCGATGTCGGTCCTCCGTGTCTCGCTCTGACCATGGACAGCGCCCTGGCCCTGGGGGCGTGTTGGGCCAGGGTCTGTATTGACGCTCCTCTGAAGACCCCAGGTTCTGGGGGAGCAGGGACACCCCTGCAGCTATCTCACATCCCTTGTAAGACTAGTGGCCTCTGGCTCCTTGGCCACGGCTCCCCGGCCTCGTGGCTGTGCCAGGCGGGTAGTAGGCGACTTGCTGTCTTACGCCCCGGTGGTGACTGGGAGCGTTTTCCATTTGGAGAGCCACCTTCCCTTCCTTCGGGGCGTGCATTTCTTGCAGTCGCTCTGTTAGAAGTGCGGGCTGTCCTTGGCCACGTCTGGTGGGTAGCTCTGGTGCCCGGGTCAGCTGTGTCCCCCTCCTCGCATCCTGGGCTAACTCGTTTTCTCCCGAAGGTGGGTTTACGAGGACATGGCTCAAGCTTTCATGGGCACCCAGAGCCCTCACGTCGTGAGCTGCGGTGAGAGCTCCTGTGACTGGTCAGGGAGCTGTGCTAAGGTGTTCTCTTTGTCCCCTTTCCTCCTCTGCGCCCGGCGTGCCCCCACAGACGTGGCCCCCCTCTTCGTCTCTGAGCCACGCTCCGCTGTGCAGAAGCTCGGGTCGCCCGTCTTGCTGCGCTGCTCGGCCACACCCGGGACGGCGCGTCTCTCCTGGCTGCACGATGGGGAGACAGTGGATGGGGACACGGAGCAGATCCAGGTCCGGCCCGGGACACTGACCATCCTGTCCCTCAGCCCCTCCCTCTCGGGGCAGTACCAGTGTGTCGCCAGCAACGCTGCCGGTGCCGTCGTGAGCCGCCCCGCCACGGTGTCTGCTGCAGGTGAGCTACAGACCCGCACCTTCCGGAAGGGCTTCTGGAGGTCACCGTGGGCCGTGCCGTGGCGTGGTGGGACAGCACAGGACGGGTGGGTGCTCAGAGCCCTCCCACACCCTGACTCGCCACGGTGGACCTGGGGACCCGTGAGCCTCTGCGGGCCTGGCCTCCTGTCTCCTTCACCTCAAGGGCATGGCAGTGACTTTTTAAAAAGTGACACAGGCAGGGCAGCCTGCAGAGAGCCCCGGAACGGTTTCCTGCGAGGCCTTCCCGCCCTCATGCGGACCAGCGCCCGTGTGGCCCCTGACGCCCGCGTGGCCCGTATCTTCCTCTGTGTCTTATTCTCTTTTTTGCTGTGATTGCCGAGTGATTCTGTTTACTTAATTGAAACCAGGCTAAAGACGTGGAAAACAATAAGTGTAAAGAAGGGATGCTGAGAGCTGAGCTTAGGAGGGTCTGGAATGTGCCATTGCCTCTCACGGGGAACGTCCCCACAGGGAGAGGGCTCTGGGAGGGCGTCCCATCTGCAGAGCGTGCCTGCATCCCCAAGAACAGGCGTCTGTCAGAACGAGAGTAAATGTTTGCAGAGCCGTGAGCTACGGGCGGCCCCGAGACACACACTGGAGGGCTTGGTTCCCAGGGTGGGCGGCCCAGCTCGGCCTTGGAGAGGATCAGGACCCCCAGGGTTGTGCGGCCCAGCTCGGCCTTGGAGAGGATCAGGACCCCCAGGGTTGTGCGGCCCAGCTCGGCCTTGGAGACCGTCAGGAGCCTGGGGCGGTGGCCTCTGTGGTGACCTAAACCAGCGCGGCTGGGGTCGAGTGAGCGTGCTGGGCTCGCTGTGACAGCTGCTTGTGTGTGATGTCCTCGGTTTGTCCTGGAGACCGTCTGGTGTGCTGTGAGCAGCTGCTGCAGTGTCGAGATCGTGGGACGGAGTTTGGACGAGGGCCGGGTCTCAGGACGGACTAATTCTGCCTTGGAGCTCTCTAGCTGTTTTGGGAGCTGCTTTCTCTACAGTCCCCTGGAGGCATGGACGTCCCCGAAGGCGGCAGCCCGGCCCCAGCACGCCTCTCAGCCGCTAAGGTCCGGGGTCACACTGCCCTCCGGGCTGGGGCTGGCGGCCCAGAGGCCAGGCTGCAGGTGTTCCTGGTTGGTGGCTGGTGGTTGATCGCAGAGCCAGTGCGCACTTACCAGAGAGCACTCCCCAGGGGGCTGTGGTCACACTGCGGCCCTTTTCCCTCCACCTCCCTGTCCCGCCAGGATGGCACCCATACCCAGCATCCTCATGCCACCGGGGTGTGGACCAGGACCAGCCGTGGGATCTGGCCTTCTGTGCACAGGGCCTAACCACCGCACCACAAGCCGAGGTTGCTTCTGATTCCCAAGGCCCCCTGGGTAGAGAGGACCCCCTCGCACGCATGTTTACCTGTTCAATACGTCTTTCAGTTCTCGGTGACTTTGGTGCATCAACAAAGCACGTCATCACTGCCGAGGAGAAAGGTGTTGGTTTCGTGAGCTGCAGTGTGCCAGACAGCACCCCTCAGGCCGAGGTGCGCTACAAAATCCGGGGACAGTGGCTGAGACATTCCACAGGTGAGGCCTTCGGGGAGGGCCGTGGTGTGCGCGAACAGGGGGGTGAGGCGCCTGCCGGGAGCTCCGTGCAGAGGGTGCTGGGTGCAGAAGCAGCAGGGCTGCCCCCTCTCCGCTCCACTGCAGGAAATTAGCGGGTGGTCCCGCCGTGCTGCAGGACAGTCCAGACCCTGCAGGCTCATGCGTGCACTCAGGTCCCACCTGGGTGCCGCCTCCTCCCAGGGGCCTCGGCCCTACCCCAAACTGCATGCCCTGGTGCTCCGTCCCTGCGCAGGGCTGTGGTCTTTGTAGACACGCTGGTCCCCGGTGCCGTGTGTGCACGTCTTTGCTGGCGTGTTTTCTACTCCCGCCTGTGCCACCCCTCCTTCCTGGGATGTCGGCTGCACAAATCAGGCCTTTCCTGACTTCCATCATTGCTCTGTCACGTGGGCCTGGGACATCACTACAGAAAATAGCCACCAGTGTGTGTGTGTGCTGGAAGGGGTGCAGACGCTGGGAGAGCACCACATGGCTGGCTGCAGGGACTCCGCGGGACGGAGGTGGCTGCCGCAGCTGCTCGTGCCTGGGAGCTGCCATGGGTGGTTAATTGTCGGGGGAGTGAGTTTCGAGTGCTGTGGAGTCCCATGTGTGGTTGACCGTGAGCCCTGGTCAGGGCCGGCTATGTGGGGGCCTCGCCGGGAGCCCGAGACCTGGCTACATCCCCTTCCTTCCGCAGAGAAGTATTTAATCCTCCCGTCCGGGAACCTCCAGATCCTGAACGTGAGCCTGGAGGACGAGGGCTCTTACAGGTGTGCGGCGTACAACCCCGTCACGCAAGAGCTGAAGGTGGAGCCCGCGGGCCGCAAGCTCCTGGTCACCCGTAAGTGTCTGGGAGCCGAGTCTCCTTTGGTAAAGAGAATTCACTTTGCATGCGTTTACTTGCCTGTTCACCGGGTAACCAAGAAAAGGAGAGTCCACAGAGCCATTCCTCAGGAAAGGCTGGAGGTGAGAGCCTTGTCCAGATCCAACTCACTTCCCGGATGTCTTACGTTTGATCGAGTGGAGCCACGCGTGTCTGAGTGTCACAGCAGGTGTGGTTAAGGCGGCTGGAGCCCACATGACCGACTGCATGGGTCAGGTCCTAGACCTGGTGGTGTGGAAAACATGACTGCATGTGTGCATGCGTGCCCAGAATGCCAGAGGAGAGTGGAGGAGAGAGGATCGTGGTGCGGCCACCTCTGGGGCTGCGTGCTCACCCACCCCACCCCCCCTCCGAGCGACGCACCCTACAGCAAAGTAAAACAGTAAGGTGTATCAGCTTACAGAGGGGATCTGGTCAGGGCCACAGAGTGAGGGTTACGGAGGGAGGATTTTGCCCTTTGCTCAGACAGAAAGAAATTATAGAGGAAACCCAACTTGAAGCATGGGGGTGAAATTGCGACCAAGTGTGGAGTGTGTAAAGGGAACGGATGCCCGTCTCCTTCTGCGGCCACAGAGGTCACTGCCGATACTCAGACTGGCGGTCAGGCAGGTCAGGACTGGCTTCTGGACTGTCGGGAACGCTGTTTCCAGATGGCCTACTCAGGAGGGACCCTGCAGGGCCCCCGAACCCGACTTTCAACCTCTTAGCTTCTGGTGCAGCTGCCAAGCAGCTCCCGTCGTGGAGACACGAGGCAGGAAGGAGGGTCAGGCTCCGAGAGGAGCTGGTGAGCACACCAACGCCTTGTGTCCCCGCAGGCCCGTCCTCCGGCCCCCGCATCCTCCACCCCCGCCTCTCCCAGGTGCTGGCTGTCCCTTCCCGGAGCCCTGTGACCCTGGAGTGCGTGGTGAGTGGGGCCCCGGTTTCCCGGGTGTCCTGGCAGAAGGACGGGCAGGACACTGTACTGGGCAGCCACTGGACGAGGCTCCACTCGCATCTCGCCACGGCGAGCATCGGCCCCGCGGACTCCGGGAACTACTCCTGTGTGGTGACGAGCCAGGCGGGAGCCGCTGGACATGTGACGTACACCGTGACCGTGCTGGGTAAGCCACTGGGCGCCCAGTGCCATCTCCCAGGCAGCCCTTCCGGGTCTGATTTTGAGAGAGCGGCAGTAGCAAACTCAGGCGAAGGAGGGACTGCACCCCGAGGGGTGCCAGGCACACCACGGTGAAGCCCCCTCTGGGTGGCGCAGACGCTGCACATGGGCCATTCCTTGGAACCTCACCCCTGGCCTGGGGATGCAGTGTAGACCTGGCTCTGCCTTCCTGGTATGAACATCAGTGGGTGGAAGGTGCAGGCCGTGTCCATGTGTGGGAGGCCGAGGGGAGGAGGACGGACTGGGAGACGTCACTGGCAGGGGATGGCCCGTCGTGCCACATTCCCTCTGAGGTCGGCTTCGAGACTTCGTCCTTGCCACTCGCGCTTCTGAGCGGACCCCAGCCCACTCGCCAGGGACAGACAGGAAGCGAGAAATCACCCCTCAGGGAGGATGGCCGCGCCGCAGTCCCTTCCCCACTCTCGGGACTGGGCACGCGTGTGTGCCTGGCATTCCCCACCAGCCTGACGTGGCCGGCTGGCGGCTCACTCTTCGGTGCAGGCAGGGCTGGAGGAAAGGCACGGCCATTTGGTGGGGATGACACGCTGTCAGTACTGCTCCTCTTGTGAGCGGAAGTGACCGTGCGTGCTGGAGAAACGTGCCATGTTTTCCACACACCTAACTTCGGAGACTTGGCTGTACAAGTTGCCTGTGGAAGACACTCTCGTTCCCGCCAAGTCCAGAGACCTGCCGCTTCCTCTCCGAGCACCCACCCGAGCCCAGTGTGAGAGCGGCCCAGGCTTAGGCTTGTTCGTGCTGGGCCCTGCTGGTCAGTGGACTGGCTGCTGGGGGCTGGGGTTCGATTCCTGGCCCCCTAAAATCTGGGTGCCGAGGCAGGTGCCTGTGGTCCCAGTTGGGAGGCTGCAGCAAGATGACCACCGGGGCCCTGGGGGAGAGCAGCCGCCTCTGGGAGACTGGCCCCCGGGAGCGGGCGGCCACCTCGGTGGGAGGGTCACACCCACCCTTCCCTGGACGGTGGCAGGTGGAGGCGGGATTCATACAGTCTGGTTCCGCCTGTTACTGGTGGAAGAGGTGTTTTTTTTTTTTTAATAATTATTTTATTTAACTTTATTTACTTCATTTACCTTGATTTGCACAGAGAAGGACCGAGTGAGAGAGAGAGAGAGAGGGAAAGTGAGAAGGCAAGCCACCAGGAGGTTTTGAGCCATGTGGTCAGGTGAAAGTCTCGGTGGCTAGAGTCTAATTTCGTGTGTTTTATTTTCAGAACATGCTTCGATTTCTAGAGGCCTGCAGGACCAGGCGGTGTCTCTGGGTGCCGCGGTCCGGTTTACCTGCGACATGCACGGGAACCCGGCTCCCACCCGTCGCTGGTTTCACAACGCACAGCCCGTCCGCCCCTCCCCACGGCATGTGATGGCAGGGAGTGCACTGCAGGTCCGGGAGGCCACCGCAGGGGACAGCGGCCTCTACCAGTGTGTTGCAGACAATGGGATAGGATTCGCGCAGTCCACTGGGAGGCTCGAAGTCCACAGAGGTAGGCGTCTGGCTCAGCCTCGTGGAAGTTCTCATTTGCAGGTGGGCTTGTTAGGGCTGGAAGGAAACCGCCCCCGTCGCCATGCCACGGCTCTGGTCATTTTCATGAACTTGCAGACAGGGCCAGCAGGCGGTGAGCTGGGTACGGGCTAGACCCCTCACGGCGGCTGTGGTCAGAGGTCTGGTGGCCTAAAGCTCACGCTGGGCACCTGTGCGTGTGTGCCCAGAATCCTGGGAGAAGGAGAAGCGGGACTGCAGCACGGCTGGCCCCCAGGAGTAGATTTCTCACCTTCACGCTCACTGTCTCTGTCTCTATGGCGAATGCGCATGTCCTAAGGCAAAAACGCTAAAACATACCCAAGCCAGAGAAAAAGCAGACACAGGCCGGCAAGCCAGGAGAGGAGAGAGTGCGTGTGGGGAACCTTCATGTGTGAGATAGGGAGACCTGGGGCCGTCGCGGGCTGACTCGGGCAGCTCGGGCCGGTTCTGAGCACCGGGTAACTTAGCAAGGCTGACGTAGTGAGGACGCCCATGGCCCTACAGCCGGGAAAGAGCTTGCATTCGGAGTTAAAAATCTTCCCACAAAGAAAACGCCTGGTCTGATGGTTTTGTGGAGGTTCTGACAGTCTTGCCAGCGACAAACCATCCATGACACGTTCTGGAGACAAGGAAGAGACGGAGTCTCTGCGACGAGTGTGACCCCAGTTCCCAGCACAGGAGGACGGTCCGAGGACGGAACGCCGAGACCCCTTGTTCACGAACCAGGGTACCAGAGTGAGTGTCCTGGTGCGTGAGGACTCGTCTGCGGTCTGGCTGCATGGGGGCTGTGCCAGCCAGCGTGGGCCAGGTACTCACTATGACGGTCACATGGTGAAACTGCCCAACATGTGTTCGCGTCCGTGTGCTGGGCCACGCAGGACTGAGGTGCAGGCAAGCCTGGGATGTATCAGTGAGAAAACCCTGCCATGCCGCTGCTCCAGGAGTCCAGCCGGAAATCCTAGGGAGTCACTCCCCGTCTGTTGAATGAAGGAGAAAACAGCGATTCCATGACGAGAGGCAGGAAAACAGCCGTAACCCAGTGCCGCGTTAGACGGCGCTAGGAAAGCGGGCCAGGGGCTGAGGCAGAGCCAGGCCAGAGCGGAGGGGCTCACAGAGGTAGACGCCCTCCCCGAGAGCCCCCGTCCTGGATGGAGAGCCGGGCGGCGCGGCAGGCGCACTGGGAGCCCGGCTGCTGCTGGCTTGCGGTAACCGCATGCAGGCGATCCTCTGGCTGCTGCTAGAAGTGACGGCAGCTTGGACAGGGAGGCTGGTTGGAAACCGAAAAAAAAAAACCTGCTTTCTCTCTATCCCATCTATAGACAGAAGACAGTTTTCTTTTTTTAGTTGCTTATTCCTTCTGCAGAGAGCCAAGTACAGTACAGCTGAAAGGGCTCAGCCAGCCCTGGCCACAGCACACCTGGGCACACGGGGCGTGCACAGGGATGCTGCAGGGCCAAGCAGCATGAAGCCTCGTGTCCCTGTGGAGCCACCCGCCACCCGCATTTCAAAATTGCCGTCTTGTAACGGCATTCAGGTGGTCGGTCCCAGGTGCGAGGGATGACGTGCCAGTTTGTCTTACCAGAACTCCTGGCACCCACTGGGGACATCTTGGGGCTGCACTCAGAAACAGTCTGCTCTTGGCGCAGCTGAGGAGGGGACTGAGGAGGGAGCTGGCCGCTGTCCCAACCGTGTCTCGGTGCAGTTACACGGTGGGTGGACTCGTCCCTCATGGCAGGCTGTGTGCGGTCTTCTCTGCCGACAGCGCACTCAGGCCGGTTACGGCGACGGTGCCAGCACACAGCAGGAGCTGGGGACATCACTGCTCCGCCCTGTGAGACCACGGGTGCGCCAGCATCTACCCCGTGGTGCCACGGCAGCCGCCGCCACAGGGCTC